CTTATTTTCAATTTTTCATGTCCAATGTGGGCAAACTGTTGGAATGAAAGGTATAACCTCATGTTAAGTTGTCTTTATTAAATCCATAATTAAAATAATGATACTCTCACTTTTACCAACTATCTTCAATGATGTCTACACATGTAGACATGTAGTTTTTTTTTTTAATGTTTTTATTTATTTTTGAGAGAGAGACAGAGTGTGAGCAGAGGAAGGACAGAGAGCGAGGGAGACAGAATCCGAAGCAGGCTCCAGGCTCTGAGCTGTCAGCACAGAGCCCGTTGTGGGGCTGGAACTCACTGACCACGAGATCATGACCTGAGCCAAAGTCAGTCACCTGAGCCACCCAGGTGCCCTCCCCCATGTACTTTTCTAGTAATATTCATGTGAGTCCCTATCAGTGAAGCACATCCACAGATTAATGGATCTTACATAACACCGCAACACTATCCTTACCACAATGGTAGAAGTTCTGAATTCTCATAATACAAAAGTAAAGCATCTTGAAATGATCGTGCAGATCGTGCAAATCTTACCACAAGGTTGGACACAACATAAAAGGCAATTTGGCTGGCCTCTCCGTTAGCTAGGCCTTCTTTTGGTAGGAGATGCACATGGTCAATGATAACAAGGCTGGCAAAGGGGGAAAAAAGTCAGTCTTCCCCAAATAGCCGGAAAAAGTGACTTCATGCTTTACAAAACAGTGGTTACTTAGTTCATATAGTTACTCTATATGACAACAATGTGTTGGACTGAGTTATGTAAATACCAAAACAGACATACCCTTCTAAGGAAAACCACTTCGATAGAATTATTACACGCTGCATTTTAAAGTGAATAACATTAACTCTGCTCTTCATCTATTAAACCTGTAATTTTAAAAAATGCTTCCCATTTCAAAATTTTAAAAATTATATCCTTTGCTAGTAATACTAAATATATCCCTAATTCTTTAAGTAGGATTATACGTCCTATAGCTAACACTCTTTGTAAAAGTAAAAAAAAAGAGGGTACAGGTAAAGAATGTCTAATTTAAAATTTAAAAATATACAAAGACATAAATTTGGATAAACATTTTACAAGTGACTGATACCATCTCATGTTGAGTTATTAATTTGCTTAATGAGTTTATTCTAAGCATCAAAATTAAAACAGATTCAGAATAAACACAAGATACACAAAACACTTACAAGAACTCAGTATTGGCAGTATAGCATATGAATAAAAGAAAATTCAGGAAGACTTGTTATCAAACCCCTGCTCTACGACTTACTATTAATGCAACCTTGGATAAATTTGCTCACTTGTATGAGACTCAATTTCTCTGGCTATGAAGTGGGAAAAATACTACCTACCTCGAAAGGCACTGGGTGGAATTCAATAAAACAACAGACAAGGAGTTTTTAGAAACTCTGCATATGCATCTATATAATGCTAGGCTCAAAGATTTCCATAATTCTTATCAAAAGAAGAACATGAAAAGTATTTCACACTACACTAAATGCATCCAGAATTCTATCTAGATTATTGGCAGCAAAAAAACAATGTATGCAGAAAAGCTGTTCAATCATTTTAGACTCTAAACCTATAAAAGAAATGGTTTGAACTAGGTAAAATCTAAGGTACTCTGAGTTCCTAAACTTCTAGGATTCTATCTTAAAGTGATGCCCAGAAAGTCAATGTGTCAACTACCACATTTTGCTCCAAAATTTATTACGATAAATAACGCAGAGGACAAATTCTAAGAATATCAAATAAAACAAAGAGGCAGTGTATATTAAGAATCTGAAGAGAGGTGTCTGGGTGGCTCAGTCAGTTAAGTCAGTTAAGCCAACTCTTCATTTTGGCTCTGGTCCTTATCTCACAGTTTCGAGCCAGGAGTAAGGTTCTGCACTGACAGGGCAGAGCTTGCTTGGGATTCACTCTCTCTCTCTATCTAACCCCTCCCCCACTCTCATAAACACAGGTGCTCTCTCAAAAAATAAACTTTAAAAAAAATCTTACCAGAGTTATGCACAAAAATGTTTAATGTTAATTCTAATGGGGAAAGCTTAACTATAAATCAAGAACTTACAAATCAAGTTATCAAAAAATTCATGATGTAGCGAGCACTTACAATGTAATGCTACTGAAAAGAGAAAAATATAAAACAATATTTACAATTTTGTTTTTAAAATGTTTTCAGAAGAAAAAGACCAAAAGAAAAACCAGCAAAATGTTTGCAGAACTTATTTCATGTTAACAGAAATGGGTTAGCGTTTTTTTCTTCATAGATTCTTTATTTCCCAATTTTCTACTATAATCTACTATGATTTCCACAATGAAAAAAAATACAATATTCATCCATGCTAAAATAGCAAACTAGAGGCTAACAAAACTTCCCCATCTGATGAAAACTGTTTACAAAAAACCTAGAGCTAACTATTTAATGGTGAAAGACTATATGCCTTACCTACTAAGATAAAAAAACAAGGCAAGGATGCCTACTCATACTTGTCCTATTCAACATCATACTGGAGGTTCTGGCCAGTGCAATCAGACAAGAAAATGAAATACAGCTGACCCTTGAACAACTCAAGGGTTAGAGGCACCAACCCTCTCACTGTCAAAGATCCACATATAACTTCTGACCTAATGATGATTTTAATTGTAAATTATACCTCAATAAACCTAAATTTCAAAGGACACGGGACATGCCCTTTTGAAAATTACACATCAAATTAAATGAGCTACCTCCAGTTCACTGGGTTTGGGGGTGGGGGTAAGACAGTGAGGAAACCAAAAAATCCTTAGAAATATTACAAATAAAAAAAATCAATTTACCATCAAGATTTATCAATAAGAACAGATACTGATACAAAGAATTAACCTAAAAAGAGTTGCCTTTTTTATTAAGTTCTGTTTGAACAGAAAATAACAAAATTTGATTAGCTAACAAGACCAAAGGTCACAAGCAACAGGTTGATAAAGGAACATTGTGATTATGAGCCAGAATTCAGAAACAACTTACCTAACATTTCACTTGGAATTTACTAATGGAAATGGTCTCATCCAGCCCAATGCACTGCCACCCCAACTTCTATTAAGAGAAATACAATAAACTTTCAAATAGCTTTCTTTATTTGTAACAATCCTATATACTTTATAAGTCATGTATCTACAAGCTAGGGGTGTCTCTTACTTGGCAAATTCCTATTTATCCATTTAACCTTCAGATCAGCTCATTAGTAACCATCGTTCTTTCTTTCTTTTTCTTTCTTTACTGTCACTAATAATAATAATAATAATAAAGTGCTGTCCTGTCACTAAAAAAATAAGTGCTGTCCCTCTCTGATGACTGCAGTTTCTTTTTTCTGGTGTAAGTATTAAAATGATTACAAAAAGCTCTAAAAAGTTTTGAGCTGATTACTCCAATAAGAAGATACATTTTCCCATGTAATAAAAGAGGTAAATTTTAACTTTCATCATTTTGTTTTATGTTTATTCCATTTGGCTTATACTGTTGCTAGGAAACCAATTCATAATAAGATTTCCAAGCACACGGAACAACCCTAGCCAGCCAACTTTGTAACCAGGGCAATTGGCGACCACACAATTTACTGGCTAGCCAGCACCACACAGGTGCGCTCTCCCTGGCATCCCCCTTGCTCTATTTACCTAACAGGTACAGTAAGTACAGCCAATTCCTTCATTGCAACAGAAATTGTAGCACAGGGCAAATGGGATGATTAGAAGTGTAGAACTCTCTGATGTCAGAGAACAAAGTGAATCTATTGTCACTCCCTGTGGTCCCACCCAACTAAATATTCTGGGTATTTTGTCTTAAATTGTACGGTGAAATGTTAGCCCAACCCAATCACTCCACCAGGCAGCATTTAAACTACTCCCAAAAGCCATCACCAACTACCGCCCGCATAAATATTTGGAGAGGATGGTGGTATCAATATCTGCACAGCTCAGAAGGGAAGGGAAGTAAAAGAGTCGGAATTCTTAAGGGTCAGCTGAGTCACCTACAGCTGTGGCCAGGATTTCACCCTCCAGGAAATCAGGCTCTGCCCCAACTCGCATCATGGAAGCAAGTAAAAGTAGCAGCAACACCATCCTACCAAAAAAACATCCAGCTCTACTTTTAATAGGGTTACCACTCCTTAAAGTGAAGCCAGAAATAGATTTCATGTCCAAAGCTTTCCACCACAGTATACAACTTGGGCAGACGGAAGAAACATCTTTATTGTGGGGAAAGGGGGCGCACTTACAGGGATGAAGGATGCCTCACCACTTGCAAAGTTACTAGCTCCTGCCGTAACCTCAAAATGCCCCTTGTATGGCAACATGTGGCCCAGAGTATCTATAAGGTAATGTGGCTGACAGGTGTTGTAGAGCTTTTACGCCGGTGTACACAACGAAGCAGAGGGGGAAACATAAATCAGGCGCCATCGGTGAAAACTTGGCAGGGATCTAAGTCTCTGTTCGGTGGGAGCTTCGGTGACACAATAATCACGTGCACTTGTCCGTAGATGTTCGGAAATATTGGATTCTGGAATGTACAAGGGCTGAAACCTGCCGGCAGAGCAAGTACCGGTTGGCCCTCAGGGCCGAGGCAGCAGGAATCCGTTCCAGCCCGAAGCAGGTCACACCTCCAACTCCCGGTCCCGGCCACCTCGGAGGGGAGAGGCCGGAGCTAGCGAGAGGCGGAAGCCGGGCCGCGTTCCCCGCCCGCGCCCAAGCCGCCTCGGGCGCGCCCCCGCCTCACGCGGCCCCGGCCCCCCAGACCCAGGCCCGGAAGGCGAGCTTCCATTTACCTGCTCCCCGCTCTGGCTCCCGCCGCCGCCGCCTCCGCGCCGCTCACCCAAACAGCCAGGTGAGCCACCCCAGCAGACGGCCCCGCAAGCGCACACCCGGGGCACGACCCCAAACCCGTCGTGGGGGAACGCGACCCCAGCCACACAAGTTGGGATAGCCCACGCACCACCCGGCTTCAAGCACCTCTGCCCCCGGAAGTTGATTTCCTCCAAGGCCCGCCCAGAGCTGCGCTTGTCACTCAACGCCAACACGCGCGTCACGTGACCCGAGCTGAGGGCCCCATCTTCAGAGCCACGCCTCTAATGGCTTGAGTAGTCCATGGAGGGTTGCCTTCTGAAAGGGGTTGACGCAGAAACTACCTCCTGTTGATTATAGCTTCTCATTCCTCTAGAATGACGGACGCAGTTCCTATGCCTAATGTATGCAAATAAAACCATCCGCAAAATGATACTCCCATCTGGGATTCTATAGGACTGTTCCTGAGAAAAGCCTGCCTGATGTTTTCACCACCTCCAGGCAGAGTTCAATAAAAACGAACTTAGCCAAATGCCTGACAGGTAGTAAGTGCTCAAGAAACAGTTGACTGGACGACTGCTCCATTCCTTCTCTGCGTATCTGAACACTCAAGCACCGGAAGGCACCTAAACCCAGAGCCTCTCCAGACCATATGACATCAGTCAAAGACTCTGCTTGAGAATTATTTTTGTTCTTGGCCTCAGCTCCGGATCACAGCAACTTATATATGCCATCTCTGTTTCAGAGACAGTTTATTTTCAGCTGCCAAGCCACTTTTTTCCAAGCCTTCAGTCAAATAATTTCTCCTGAAGAAAAAGAAAAGAGAATGACATAACTGTCAGGGTTTTATTTCAAAAGAAGAGTGGTTATATAGATTTTTTGTGTGTGTTCATATCAAAGTGTCAATAACTGTTAAAGAGGAACAGTCAACTAGCAAGTCACTTGTCAATGATTCTTCCATCTTTGACATGGGAGAGATTTGAAGAACATTTATTTAGCAATTTTTTTATTAAATGTCTACTTGGCTTACTGGACTAAGTTGTGGCAATCTGAGAATGGACCAGATTTCACTCAAGATGTTTGCCTTCAAGGAGTTTATAGTCTAGTGGGAAAAATAAACAAGTAAAATCTGGGAACTTTAAGCATAAATCTCTGGAACATTCATAGTCATTGTATAACAGGAATTCTTTAACATTTTGGATGTTATTTTCTCATCTTTCCATTGAACAAAATTGACTCAAGCCTTTAATAATCTCTGCTGTGTACTTGCAGTAGAAAATGTCAACAAGTAATCCTAACAATTCTCCAGGAAGTGGAGGCTCAGGTGGTTAGTGAGTAGTCCCAATATTGAGCTCAAAAGTCGGTCTTCTACATCCATTTTTTCTGTCGTGTGTTTCTATCATGAACACGTTTCCATTATAGCAGATTGATGCTCTTACCCAAATTTATTTACCTATCTACTAGACCACGAAGTCAAAGACCACTTTTCATTTGTATATCTGTGAGTCTGCTTCTTATTTGTTTTTGTATATGAATCAATATCATAGTATTTAGTGATTAGAAGAAAGATATTCAATAAATGCTTCTTAAACCAAGTACAGTTACCTTTATATCATTTTGTGTCTCATCCCTTTCTGCTGGAAACCTCAGATGAGTTTCTGAGAGTTTTCATTGATATGTCTGTATGTTTCCTCTGTCCCACTTACTCCAATATTCAATATTAAACAGACTTATGATAATAATAGAAACTAATACTTATTGAACATTTGCTATGTGCTGGCATAATTATCTTATGTGACTGGCTAAATATTTTGAATCTACTATCTAATTTGTCATAACATTAATCCTCCAAAGTAAGTATATTAATATATTCACTTTTTAGATAAGGATAAAGAGTTACGGAGAGTAATTTAACCAAGTGGTAGAGCAGGATCCAAAGCCAGGTCTGCCCGATGAAAGGATTTGTTTATTCACCACAACACACTGCCTCTGCTTTTCACATCATTTGTTTATCAGTGGAACCAAATTTCACCACCTCCATGAAGTCTTTCCCTCCCTCACATAGTAATCTGTACTTTTTATTTTTTAGTCTAAACTCAATGGTTTTTAGTATATTCACAGAATTGTGCAACCATCACCACAATCAATTTTGGAATATATTTATCACCTCAAAAGGAAATCTCGTACCCTTTGTCAGTCACTCCCCATTCCTCCCATTCCCTGCCCCTTAGGCTTAGACAGACACAAATCCACTTTGTATCTTTTTAGGTTTGCCTATTCTGGACATTTCATATGAATGCAATCATGCAATATGTAGTCTTTTGTGACTGGCTTCCTTCACTTCACATCATGTTTTCATAGTTCATTTAACCATTCCTCAGTTGGTGGACATTTGAGTTGTTTCCACCTTTGGGCTATTCGAATAATGCTTCTACAAACATTCATATACAAGTTTTTGGGTAAACATAACATTTTCATGGATATATATACCTAGGAGTTGGATTGCTGAGCCATTTGCTAATTCTGCTTAACCTTTTGAGAAACTGCCAGATTGTTTTCCAAAGTGAAAAACATTTTACATTCCCACTAGCAATGTGTGAAGGTTCTAATTTCTCCATAGTCCTCTTCTTATCTCCTCAAGAACTTAAGTGTACTAGAATTTATCCCTCTGTTATGATAGGACTTATGACTCTATTACTTTTCAGGGTATTTTTCATAAGCCATCTTGTATTATTATTTACCTTTGTAATGCATGTATTTGCAGGCCCATCACCCTAATAGATTGTGACCTTTTGAGATGAGAAACATGGTTCCTGCCCTCAAGAGGATCAAATTTGGAGAAAAACGTAGATAATCATATCAAATAGGGTGAGAACAAGCACTGAAATCAAGTTTATTGTTAACATGTGGAGGAGGAGCACCTCATTCAACCTGCGTTCAACAAGAAGTACTTCTCAAAAATGTCAAGCTCAAGACGAGTATTGAAGAACCAGTAGGAATTGGCCAAGCTAAAAAGAGACAAAGAGTGCTCCATACACAGGCACATATACCTTTGTATGTATCTCCTTGCCTATGAAGTGTAGAGGTAAGTATAGTGTGGAGGTTGGTATAGTGGAGGCAAAGGTGGGAATGTGTGGGAACGTGACAGGAGAAATGGGAACTGTAGATGGGTCAGGAGGGTTGGAGAATTTTATAAACTGCGAAGGAGTTTGAAATTTATCCTGTAGGCAATGGAAAACAAATGGATTGTTTAAGTGGGGTTGGGGAGAATTACTTTAGCAGCAGTGTGCAGGTTGGATTATTAGATAGGGAACGGGTTTTTCTCTGGAAAAACAGGGAAAGAAGACTGATAGAACAACTAGAATGAGGAATTGTGGAAGCCCGAGTAGAGGTGGTACCCATGAAATTGGCTAAAAGGATTTGAAAGGCATGTAGGCAGCAAAAACATAGGAAAGAACTGAAGGTGTATTCCTGGTTTCTGGTGCTATTCAAAGAGGTAGGGGATTCAGGAAGAAGATGCTACACTTGCTGGTAAGAATAATGAAACACCACAACTTAGTCCTATTGCAGTTTATATGCAGTTGCAGTCATCCACAGAAATGAGATGGATGTCCACCTAAAGCTGGTCCACATTTCAAGACTTCTGATGCCACACATGCACCAAGAGGATGTAAGAAGATTTATTGGTCATGTAATGAGACTTTCTAGGAAGAGCAGGGTAGGTTTCCCAAACAAGTCCAAAATGGCTGGGAGAAGGATGGAAGGAGGTTGGAAGAGAGACTGGCTCTTGGGGGTTTTATGGTGGCTAGGGCATGGTGCTAGGGTGAAAATTCCTACGTAGGGGCCAAGGCTTGTGTGGCTTGAATTTCCCACTGGCACCAAAGAAGGGAGCACCCAGGCTTTCTCATCAGCCTGCACAGATGTAGGGCAAGAGGGAACAGATGAAGGCTTGAAAGTTGTCAACCTTCAAACACCAAATATGGAGTCAGAGTCTTTACTACGTATGTTTAGAGTTTAGTTTCATTTTGTTTACTCCAACAAGAAAGTAATGTAATTGTTGTATCTTTATATGCTTTGAAAATGATTGTAGCGGATACTTGCCTTCTCAAAATCTATTGCACTCTTCCCACACTGTGTGGCACACACCTGAGAAATTTGGGTGGAATTAACCTCACCTTTATCCCAAAGTGAGTCTAATCAGGATAACCCTGACCTATGATGTTCCCTTATCCACATATGGTTTGGGATTGAGCACCAATCATAGGACTTTTGCCCCAAAATTGTGTAGTATGGCTCCCTCTCCCTCTCGATATGAATGAGAAAGCATATGATCCTTGTTGCCGAAGGCAGTCATTTTGTGACCAAGAAAATGAAAGAGAAATGGAGCTGAAACCTTGATCAAATAAACAAAGATCTATAACATTGTATATAAGCAAAAGGATGTAAAATACAAACTGTGAAATTTTTAAATAAGCACTTTTCTGGCCCCTTTCTCTTTCTATACTCGATTGTTCCATTATGTGAGCCTTCAAATCAAACCAGCATGGAGTCTGACCGTTTTGCTACTCTCCTCAGTATTGAATACTGAATAGTGTATTGAATATTGGTTAAGTCAGTTTGAATTTGTTACTATTATACTTTCCCTCAAGATACTTCCCTGTACGTAATGTGATATAAATGTGCACATATGTGTTACTTAATTTACTTTATCTCCTAATGGTTGTCAGTTGCCATAATCTAGATTTCCCACCTTAGATGTATTCAGCTGGCATTTAATCAGAAAGACTGCATTCCAAACGTAGCAACCATAAATGTTTCTGCTATCATATCTTCCATTAACACCTGAGGCTTTGCTAATCAATGGATGTGATAAACAGGTTTTCATAAGTGAAATTAGGGGCTCTCTATTAGCATAATGGATGTTATAAATTGACTCTCATTGATGAACCAGTGGTGTTCATGATACAAAGATTGAATAAAATATTTCAGAGACAGTCCCTACCTTGCATGACCAAGGTTATAAGAAGCTAGCAAACTCCGTAGTCTGCACTTTTAGGAACAGCACCCTTCAGACCCTCAAACAAAAAATGTCTAAAATCCTAATAATCTTCAGTATGCCAACGATGGAACAGTTTAATTTCTGCTTAACTGGAGGAAAAATCACACTCATTATGGAGGTGACTGGAGACATCACGCTTATTATGGAGACGAGGAATAAATTACTGTGCCCTTCCCTCCCGACTGTAGGTTCATTTTTTAGAATATCCCCAATGCAGATGTCATTAAACTGAGATCTTGGGATGGGCCGTTAAACTAAATTCAGACTGGCAGAGTGTGAAGGGCTACTAGTAAAGAGAAATTCCAAGATATAAAAACTTGGACTACACATGGTCTCTGACCATCGTTACTTGCCTACAGAAGCAACAAGAAGCAATTAGTTCAAAAACCTAATATTAGCAGGAAGATATATTATTAAATAAACCTCAAGCCTGACTGATAATAGCCTGTGACTATTTAATCTTAAGCCTCAGACTTCTACATTCAACCTGATAGGAAATAAGCTGCCAAAATAGTGTAACCTCTTAAAAAGAGCATCTTTCCCCAATGACCATCTCGGACGGGGCCATAAAGAACACCGAGAGCAAAACAGAAAACCTGCCAAAAGAATCCATACCACTGCTATCCAGGAATCCTAACTACTCCTGTCTACAGATTATGACAAAGATCAGTGACTACTATGTAATGTTTCCAGATATACCCTGTTTAATTGGGAGTTTTCATTGCAATTACTTTGTCCTTTCTCTTTCATTGCATTTTGCATTTGTTGTCAGTAGGTGACTTGTCACTGGTTGCTAGAGCACAAGGAACTCCAGATGAAGATATAACACTTTGCAGAGACAGAAAGAAGATGCTCACTAATTACAGTGGTGGTGAGCAATAGGGTACACTACAGTGGATGTGGCAGTTGTTATCCAAACATGCATTTCACTCTGCCCCCATTGTGTAGTATTCAGATATATTGGATGAGCTTAACCCTAACCTTTTCCACGGTTAGTCCTAATTGGTGGAGGCCAGAAGTTACTCCCAAACCCCTTGCCACCATAAGTGGGGGCAGGCAGACCCAGTCCCAAGTCAATCATGGCATTACCCTAACCATAAGAATTGCTTCAGGGATCATCCAATAGGCACAAAACTCAGGACCAATGTTGTTGGAAGGAACTTTCTGTCTTCCTGCGAATCCAAGCGGAAAAGCGTGTAATTCCTATTGCTTTTAATAGTCATCTTGTGACCATAAAGGAAACCAGTCTGAGGATAAAAACAGATACAGATTATAGAACAAAGATGATATAATTCAGAGAAATGGAGCTGAAGCTTTGATCAAATCAGTTCTAAAGCTTCTCTCACCTCTATAGGACTTTTCATTTATCCAAACAATTTTCATTTATCATTTAATCCAATGTGAATTAGGTTTTCTGTTACCTTCAATCCCAAGAGTTTTAACTGGTAGAAAGATTTTGTATCTCTATCTTCATATAAAATGTCAGAAAATGAATTGCCATTTTCTTAAAATGGGAGTTCTTTCCACCTTCTTCGCTTTCCCTTTGTCTATGTTCATGCCAGAGTGAGACTGAAAATGATGTACAGTCCCTGAGCAGTTCTTTAAGATTCATATGATACTCAGCTTTCACATTAATCCAATGGAAACTATTTCAGATATGTTTTTAGAACAATATATATAAAATATGGAAAGAGTACACTAAGAAAGTCTTCAATCAGGTCCCTCCTCTAAGCTGGTCTCTTATGAATTCTGTGCAGCATCTAACCCATTTATGAAATCTCCATTATATAGGAGATACATGATCTCTCACTTCACACTAGTTTGCAAGTTGTCATTAGCCACCATTTTGGTTTGCACAGTTTGGCTTGATTCATAACTGGGCAAAAATCACTCCCTTAATGTCTAAAAAACTTTTGCACAGTGAAGGAAACCATCAACAAAATGAAAAGGAAAACTACTGAATGGGAGAAGATATTTACAAATGATATGTCCCATAAAGGGTTAATGTCTAAAATATATAAATACCTTATACAGCTCAACACCAATATATATATATATACACACACACACACATATATATATATATATATATATATATATATATGATTGACAAATAAGCAAAGGACCTGAATAGACATTTTTTTCAAAGACATACAGATGGCCAAACAGATACATGAAAAAATGGTTAACATCACCAATTATCAGGGAAATTTACAAATCAAAACTACAATGAAATATCACCTCACAGCTATCAGAATGGCTAGTATCAAAAAGACAAGAAATAAGTGTTCATGAGGATATGGAGAATGGGAGCCTTTGTGCACTGTTGAGGGGAATGTAAATTGATGCAGCCACTGTGGAAAACAGTATAGAAGTTCCTCAAAAAGTTAAAAATAGAAGTGCCATTATAATCCAGCAATTCCACTTTGGGGTATTTATCTGAAAAAAAAAATGGAAACACTAATTGGAAAAGACATATGCAGTCCCACTTGTTGCAACATTGTTTATAGCAACCAAGATGTGGAAGCAACCTAAGTGTCCATCAATAGATGAATAAATAAAGAAGATGTGGTACACATACATAAAGGAGATGTGGTACACATACATAAAGGAGTATTATTCAGCTATAAAAAAGAATGAGATCTTGCCATTTGCAACAACATGAATGGACTTAGAAGGCATTATGCTACATGAAAAAAGAGGAAGACAAATATATGATTTCACTTATATATGGAATCTTTAAAAAAAAAAGGCAGGAACAGATTCATAAATACAGAGAACAGACTGGTGGTTGCCAAAAAGTTGGGGGGTGGGGGGATGGGCCAAATAGGTGAAGGAGATAACGAGATACAAAATTCCAGTTATAAAATAACGTAAGTCGCAGGGATTTAAAGTACAGTATAGGGAATATAGTCAATAATAATATAATAACTTTGTATGGTGACAGATGATAACTAGACTTGTTCTGATTATTTTGTAATGTACATCACTTTGTTAAATCACTATGTTGTACGCCAGAAACTAGGATAAAATTGTATGTCAACTATATGTCAATAAAAAAAAATGAACTTCTTCTCTTATTATCTCAGTGCCTAATACACAAAAAGAAGCCAGCATTTCATCCATGTAATCATTATAATAAATTAATAAAAACTAATTTACATAATGAGTTGCATTTAACTATGTACTCCAAATGATAACTCAGAGATGAAGCACATGTGTCCACCCTACTTCCTTTACTCTTCATTATATCCTTAAAAAGAAAGCATCAGTGGAATGAAACTGTCTAAAAACATTAAAAATCAATGCTGGAATCTTTTTTATATTTTAGATTAATTCTAACACCTAAATTATTCACATAACTCCCAATGCTTAAATGTCACATCTCTGGCTGCTAAACAGTACTTTTTATGACAATATTGAAAAATCAAAAAGTGAGCTAGGTTTTGCATCTATATTAAACCATCATATTGCTTCTTTAGAAGTTACTCTACCACTTTTGCAGATGGAACAAGCAATACTCTGGGCAGAAAGCCATGTGAGAGCTGCTACAATAAAGATAAATTGAATTTAAATTAAACTTTTTCAAAAGTTTTGGTGCACCACAAAATTAACACATCTTGAGAAAACTATGGAGTTTGAAAGACCATGGTCGAATCCCACTCAGCATTCTCCCCACGCAGCATTCTCCCGAGAATTGATCACTTTTTTAAGTTGACCAGGAAAAGCCAAGTACTGCATATGAACAGTGGAAGGCCCTTCCATTTATTTCTCTTTCTTTAAGTCTTGGATATTAAATAATCCTAATGGTAAAGAGAATCCCATGTCCTTATACCAATCTGAAAGTTGTCCCTATTGGAGACCAACTCTGCCTGTGCATTTCTTACATTGTTACCGCAGGAGTAACTGGCAACAATTTAAATTATAAATAAAGGAAAGACTAGTCAATTTTTCCTTTGATAGTAGTTTTCTAAGTTCAAAAGCATAGTTATAAGGATATAAAGTTATGAGGATATTAAGGCACAGGGTGTATGAGACCTGCAGTTGTGTAAATCTGTTTTTGGGAATAAGCCACAAACCCACTGCTTTTTTAGGGAAAGAGGTGAATATACTAAAAGCCAAGGTATTGTTTTGCCTGTTATTCACATTATAAGTTTTTGTATTATTTTAACACATTTATCAGAATCTTTGCTTAAGATGTGTCTTAAACCCCAACATAATTATGATAATTTGCCTAATTTTTCTACCCCAAATTACAATGTAACAAATGTTAACAATGCCTTTAAATAATAGTACCTAAAGATTAAGTAACAATAAAATTAGCTTTTACCTCACCAAAGTTTTTTTTTTAGTAAAATTAGGTTTATGAGATACCCAAAATCTAGATTCTTATGAAAATACTTGATAGGCTTTTGAGTAAAATATGGATTATATGAGTCCTGTTACAAAGAGTATGAACAATGGTATGCTCTGTTTTCCAGTAAAATGTTATATCCTCCACTTCAAGTAGCTGTTCCACAAGTTTTCATCCTTTATTCTCTTCTCACTCAGATTTAGCCATTCTCTGTGGTTAATTTTTTCTACTGTCCACCAACTTGATCTCCTTAATGCATATGATTCTGGAATACACTGGCATCTTCTGTATAGAGTCTTCTCTCACTCAGCCTACATTAATGCATTCTACATGTCCATAAAACTCATGCATATTATCCACCTTTGATCCCATGGAAGTTTTTTTTTTTTTTTTAACTCTCCAGCCACAATTATCTCTTGAGTTCAGAATATACCTTACAGTTGTCTATGAGATATGCATGGAAGTTTTGATCCCATGGAAGTTTTTTTTTTTTTTTAACTTTTTTTTTTTTAACTCTCCAGCCACAATTATCTCTTGAGTTCAGAATATACCTTACAGTTGCCTATGAGATATGCACCTAGATGTCCCATGGGCAAATTACATGTTCCACAACAAACTCATTATCCATCCTCCACAAAACCTTTCTGTTCAACCTCACTTAATTGCTTTTGTACGGTCTGCATTAGTTAGGACACTAGTTTAAGCAATTTTAACAAAGGCTGGAAAATAGTGACTTAAACAAGCACAGTCTTGATTTCTATTTCACATGCAAAGTAATCCAGGGCTGGTCTGGTGGTTCCATAGAGAGCCATCACCCCTCCTCACATCTTGTTGCTCTCCCAATTTTTAACACATGGCTTTTTTTGCATGGTCTGATTGACATGCTCCGGCTCCTGCTATCATGTCTGCATTCTAACTGGCAGAAAAAGGGAAAGGAGGAAGTAAAGGTAATACTTCTTATTTTTAAGTGGATGGCACAGAAGGCACACATTTGACTTCAATTCGCATCCCATTGGCTAGAACTTTGCCATATAACCATGCTTAGCTACAGGGGAAGCTGGGAAATTTTTTTTTTTTTTTCCAGCTGGGCAGCTTTTGTGCCCTGCTAAAACTCAGAGATTCTATTACAAAAGAGGAAGGGGATAATGTATTCTGGAGAACAACCATCAATCCCTCTCACATCCAGTACTGTAAGAAACTCTTTGACCCTCTTTCCTCTACTTCCTTTCTGCTACTGCTTTGTTAACATGTATTTGTTCTTCCCATGTATATGCACACTTGGTTTTTGATGCTGTAATCTGAATGAGATGGAAAAGAATGCACTCACAAATCATTGGCTATGTACTGTGTACCTAAGGCTGTATTAATTCACTCTAACAAAGTGGGTTAACTCTAACAAACAACCACCTCTGGCACCATCAGTAGCTGTGATCAGGGATACTACTTGATTGAGCTTGAGATAGTCTATGGTCAACTTCCAGGTGCCATCCAGTTTTTGGAGGAGCCAGACAAGTGAATCAAAATGGAGATATGATGGGCCCACTACCTATGCATTCTTTAGCAACTTATTCTAGGCTTTGCAGGCCATGCAGTTTCTGTTGCAGCCAGTGAACCCACTGTAAGCTAAACCTTGGACAGAACTCCATTTTTTAAATTGCCTTTCATATGCTTCCATTCTAACTGGGGGTCCTTGATGATGTGTTAGGCTTCAATTTTGCTGTGATTCTAAAACTGCTTTAAAAAAAATAAAGTTTATTAATTTTTTAAATTAGAAAGCCCTATAGGAGGAAAAGGTGTCAACATCATATACACTAATAATCAAAGTCATTTTAAAACAAGCCTTTTAAATTCTGTGACCCTGGTGGTTCTTTTTCACTCTTTGGTTGGTATCCATTAAAAAAAATTAGACATAAGAAAAGGCAAAAGAAGAACTTTATATAATAGGTTATAATATTGTGTTAATTCACACATAATGCTATCAGTTTCCCTGTTTGATTTATGAATATTTACTTTATTCTATAAGGGTTTACTATAATGAAAAATACACAATATATCCTGTTTGATTAAATGGTTGCTAGGCAGAGTTGGTAGCTATTTAATCAAAGCCTGAGTAACATTATTTCTGTGGTGAAAAACAAATTTTGTTTATACCAGTTCTCCTCATGGTACCTTTTCAGTCACATAACATACAACAGTACAAAGACTGGGCTTAAATACATCTTACATATATGATTAATACTTAAAGCTTTAAAATAAGTATTCACCAGTGTATGATATCATGGGAAACATAGAATTTTGGAGGTTTAAAGGAGCTTACATGCTATTTTATTTAAACTTCTCTCTGAATTCATTTATCCCTTCACCCACATTTAAGCAACAATTCAGCAGAAACCAGTATAAAACCTCCCACAGAATGTTTTTTTTTTACTTGAAAGTAAAATAAATTAACAAGAAGTAAAAACTAGTTTACTTAATTTGCATGTAAACAGCCTCAGAAAATTAAAAGATTGAGAGTCAAGAAAGGATTTTAGTTTAAAGTAATTTAAACTTTCAACTACATAATAAAGAACATAAGGAAAACTTATGCTTTCATTTTAGAAGGTTAGAATGGGCTTCTAAAGCAAGGTCAGTTTCTTGGAGTTTGAAGAGTCAAAATTTTTATTAGAGGGGACTTTCCTTTTTTAAACAAGATTAGCATGCAATCAAACAAAAAGATGGCACTATTCCATGTTTCTGCAAGTCTTTTTATTTCTTCTTCAGAAAGGCAATATCCACTTATTTTAAGATTACCCATTACTGGCATCATTCATACAAAATGTAGCTTCCCCAAGTTAAGAATAAGGTGAGAAAATAACAAACGTCATTGCATACAAACAGCAAATACAGTTGACTGCAGAAACCAATGAAACACCTCATTGGTCACTGGGTTATTTGTATCCTTCCTAGAATATGAGTTTTGAGCATTTTCATGTCTGTTCTGAAACTTTTAATTATCCCTTTTAGTCATGGACAATATTTGGTCAGGTGGTAATGAATAAATGAATAATATCACCCAGCAGTATGGCAGTATTAATATGGTCAAAAGCCAGATATACTTGCTGTCCTTCCAAGTCAAATAGTACTTCTAATGCTGTTAGGTTGGTTATTTGGTTTTTGGCCATCTCTTTAAGAATAAGAAAGCTCTATATTTTTATAGATAAAATAGGACTTGTTAATGAGAATGTAGAAGAATTTAGCATGGCAATTACTAAAAGTCCATTTTCCTTACAAACTGAGGAGAAATTTTTTACCATTGTTTTCATGCAATGCTAGGGGATATTTGAAGGTGCAGAGAAAGGTCATGGTGGAAGTAATAGTAATTTTTTTTTTTTAATTCTTGGTTTAGTAAAACTCATTACAAGTATTCTGGATCCATTTTTGGCTAAGTGAAGAGGAAAGTTTTACCAGCTGATGGCCGTTTGATGACCTACATGGAAAGAACTGGTAGACTCAGGAGAGCACAATTGAGAGAAGTGATCACATCACAAAATGTGACATCATTCTTTGGCACCAGCTGGCATCCTGGACATGGAGAGTGAGTTATATTCTCAACCCTGAATTTTCCCCTCCAGATTACCCTTGTGGCTCACCAGAGGGCAGTGTGCAGTAATCGGCCCTACTGCTTCCTGCATTGGATGTGTCCTATGGGACAATGTCAAATAATCAGAACCAGAAATCAGGCAAGACAATAGATTACGGAAGTTGTTTTGTTAGACTTGTTGTATCTATTCCCCCTACATAGAGTTCTTAATACTGAGAAATTAATCAATCACTACATGAGACATAAGGTAATGAGCTTTTAGTAAATCCTGTGTTACAGTTTCAGATTTATGACAATAGTCTTGGGATTACTAAACTCAGTTCTCCTCTTTAGACTCACAAATGCATAATATTATTCAAATGTGAATAAATTGCCTTCCTTCACATGTCTCATACCTGAATTCTCAAGAGTTTTCAATCTTATACACAATTGAATAATTCACTGAATACTTTATTGAACAATTGGAGTGTGGGATATAACAAGATAAAGCACCTATAAATCCTGCTCAAAATGAGCTTGAAATCTATCAAGGGACTAAAGTGTAAGTGAAAAATTAAATACATGATCAGAATTGTACAAAGCAGGAGATACATATAAAATGTTATGAAAATTCAGAGGCTGGAGACATGAAGGCTTTTGGCAAGGGTTCAGAATCTCAGCTGAATCTTGCAGCTGAGGCAAAATTCTTAGACATATTGAAAGTGATAACAGCACATCCTAGATAAAGAAAACATTATGGATATGGCAGGTTAAAGGACCTATGAGCTTAAGAGAAAGTAAAAGGTAGTAGTAGAAATAATGCTAGAGAGCTATATTGTGAACAAGGTCCATGAGAGTATTGAATACCAGGATGAGATGCTCCCAAAACTGAGCTGACAATGGGAAGTTGTAGGAGCGGACCTAAATTAGCACTTGCCCTATATACTAAGAAAATTGATCTTACAGTATTGTGAGGGATGGATTAGACAAGTAAGAATCCAAAGGTAGAGGGTTGAGTTAGAAGGCTATTTCAATAATCCTGCATACTTTGAGATCGAAAATGAGGCAAGTTGGGGCGCCTGGGTGGCGCAGTCGGTTAAGCGTCCGACTTCAGCCAGGTCACGATCTCGCGGTCCGTGAGTTCGAGCCCCGCGTCGGGCTCTGGGCTGATGGCTCAGAGCCTGGAGCCTGTTTCCGATTTTGTGTCTCCCTCTCTCTCTGCCCCTCCCCCGTTCATGCTCTGTCTCTCTCTGTCCCAAAAATAAATAAACGTTGAAAAAAAAAAAAAAGAAAATGAGGCAAGTAAGAGGTTCTGTAAAGGTAAAATTGGCATGAGTTAAAACCTAAGCAGATGTGGGTGGGGTAAAGAGAAAAAGAAGTCAAAACATAGTTTGAAGTTTTGAGCTGTGTGGGAGAATGACAACTTCATTCATTGAAATATAGGACACAGGAGAAGCAGGCTTGGGAAATAAATTGATAGACTCACCAAAAATCTTAGACTATCCTAGTCAAAATCTTTATGAAGCTAAATACTCACTTTTCTCTGTTCTTTTAAATTAATTCAGATACATTTGGAGGAGTCATTGCTCTTGAAACCCCCAAAAGTCTACTCAAACAACAAATGCTTATTCAAATGTTTTGAAATTTATAAATGTGAAATTTTAAGAGGAACGTATTGAGCACGCAGGGTTAACAAACTTAAATTGCATAATTATGTTAAATGGGGCAAACTTCAAAGTGTTCTCCCACCACTGAGGAAAATAAGGCTTGTTACACTTATTGTTGCTAAAAATTTAAGAATACCATAATATCACCAAATGGTGAATTTGTGCTTAATGAAAAGGAAAGAATTGCAACCTTTCACTGATGCAACCATATTCTGTGCATTTTTTTTCTTTCTAACAGAAAACTATAATACAACACTTAAAGGAATCAATAACAATCTGGTTGAATAAACAAAAAGAACTAAATATGACTTCCTTTAATATTTTTAGAATTTTTTTTATGTATTAGCTGAAAAAGCCTGTGGTGGAGTCTCATTTGCCCAAATACATTGTTATATTTTTGCCCAACTCTGCTGACAGTTACAAAACCCAGAAACCAAGCTGTGAAAGAAACTTTTCCAGTTGAAGCATCTGCTTTTGTTGAAATTTTTTCAATCATATAGGAAGTTTTGTAGTTGCCTTGATCTCATCTGTTAGTTTTTCTACTCAAATTAAATAAATGACATCATAAGTGGCATGGACTTGTTTCTTAGCCACCCAAAAAAAAAAAAAAAAAAAAGGTCTAGTAGTAAATTTTCCACATTTGACTTCTATATTCCTCATTTGACTTCTATATTCCTATCTTTTACTCTTGACCCTTGAAATACCTGCTAATCAAATAGCTCTTATCCATACTTAGACCCTGCAGCTTTAAATTTTTTTCTGTGTTAACCACAAAGGAGTCTTTTATATGCTAATTATGTCCTCTCAACCCTGCTCTCATGCATATATAATTTAAAACAAAACTAAGCCTTTTATCTTGTTGGAATATTGTATATGATATTCTCAGTGTATGTCATGTCCAATTAGAACTGCAAGGCAATATGCTATTCTTAACACCACTTTGCTTAGTCACCTACATCTGCTAAGTTACCATAGGAAGCCCTACTGAATTCAGTACCATCAGGACTTCGGGTGAACATTTTAGAAATTGACACCATCACATTCTGTTATGATTGCCCCTTTTGCTGTTTATACACCTCAACCTGGATTGTGAACCACATGAGGGGAAGGATGGTGTCTAGTTTAAGAAGCACACTGAGCACACTGACTTGTTAGAAAACAATGAGAGAGTAGAAAATTCAGCTAGTCCCAAGATTTCTGGCAGTGGGAAAGGTCACAACATTGGCTAGTATTCTCCTAAAGGGGGAAAATGGGAGGTACCAGGAAATTAGGTTATAGTCATCATCAGAAAGCATAAGAGAATTAAACATCTCTGGTCTTCCCTTTTATAGATGTATCTCCGATATATATTTAGTTGCATATGTACCTAATTAATTATGATGAAATAGACATAAAATTTATTCTATTAAACATTTTTAACTGTACAGTTTAGCGGTATTACATGCATTCACATTGTTGTGCAACCGTTATCATCATTTATCTCTAAAACTCTTTTCATCTTGCAAAACTGAAACTTTGTACCAATTACACAATCTCCATTCCCTCCTCCCCCCGACCCCCAGAACCTAGAAATTACCATTTTCTGTCTGGATGAATTTGAGCACTCAAGGTAACTCATAAAAATGGAATCAAGTATTTGTTTCTTTGGGACTGGCTTATTTCACTTAACAACGTTCTCAAGGTTTATCCATGTTTTAGCATGTGTCAAAATTTCCTCTCTTTTTAAAGGCTGAATACTAGTCTACTGAATGTATATATCACATTTTATTTATCAGTTTTACTGTCACTGAACACTTGGGTTGTTTTCACCATCTTACTATTGTGAGTAATGGTGCTATGAACACGGGTATACAAACATCTCTTCACAAAGGTGTTTTCCATTCTTTTTGGTATAGATCCAAAAGTAGAATTGCTGGATCATACGGTAATTCTAATTTTAATTTTTTGAGGAAGCACCATACTATTTTCCATAGTTACTGCACCACTTTACATTCTCACTGAGCAAAAGGGTTCCAATTTCTCCACACCTTCACAAGCACTTGGTTTTTTTTTTGGGGGGGGGGGGTGTTGATAGCAGTCACTCTAATCAGTGTGAAGTACTATCTCATGTGGATTTGATTTGTATTTCCCTAATGATTGGTGATGTTGAGCATCTCCTCATGTGCTTGTTAGCCATTTGTATAGCTTTTTGGAGAAATATCTATTCAAGTCTTTTGCCCATTGTTATACTGGGTTCTTTGGGGATTTTTGGTTTTGGGCTGTCATCCTTTATACATTCTAAATATTAACCCCTTGTGAGATACATGATTTGCAAATGTTTTCTCCCATTCCCTTTTCACTCTATTGATCATGCCCTTTAATGCACACTAGTATTATGTAGTACGTACACTATGTTATGTAGTCCAATTTATCTATTTTTTGTTGTTGCTGCCTGTGTTTTAGTGTCATAGCCACGAAATCATTGACACATCCAATGTCATAAAGACTTTCTCCTATGTTTTCTTCTAAGGGCTTTATAGTTTTAACTCTTCACGTGTAGGTTTTTGATCCATTTTAATTCATTTTTGTATATGATGTAAGGGAAAGATCCAACTTCATTCTTTTGGTAGGTGTCTTGCCAGTTATCCCAACACCATTTGTTGAAAAGACTGTCATTTCCCCATTTAATGGTCTTGGTACCCTTGTGAAAAATCATTTGGCCATAAGTGCAAAAGTGTAGTTTGGACACTTTATTCTATTCCATTTGTCTGTATATCTGTTTGTATGCCAATACTACACTCTTAAATAGAATGGCTTTGTAGTAAGTTTTGAAATCAGGAGGTAATGAGACATCTGACTTTGTTCTTCCTTTTGAAGACTGTTTTGTTATCCGGGGTCCCTTGAGATTCCATATGAATTTTAGGATGTTTTTTCCCTGATTCTTCAAAATAAACTGTTGAGATTTTGATAGGATTTTGATTGTATTGGGTCAGTAGGTCACTTTGGGTAGTATGGACTTTTTAACAGTATTGTCTTTCAATTTCAAATATATCTTTAAGGCTGTGAACAAGAACCATTTCAAAAAAGCCCACTTATTTGGATGAAAAGAACTGTAAGCAATTTATTCTAGGCACCCAAATGTCAAACCCCAAGCAGTTGATGAGGGAGTGAGGATTGGAGTTGTTTGTCAATTAAAAAATTGAAACACACCAGTAGAGTTCACTAATCTGGTGGAGGAGAAACAACAAAAAATTAAATACAGCTTGTTATTATTAAATTCCCATATATACTGGATTTTATTTGTGTGTTTTTTATTCTACTTCTATTGATCTGTGTCTATGGGGACATGGCACTGTATTGCATTTTTAATTATTGTAATTTTATAATTTGGTTTAATGTTCATTGGGCCAATTATCTATGCATTGTTCTTTTCTCACAAATAATTAGTCTTGCTCATTATTTTCTCAGGAAAGCTTTATGAAATGTTTATCAAATTTTAAAAAATTGTTTTAAAATTTAAAAAAATTTCTGATGAGAATTTTCATTTAAATTTTATTACATATGTGAATTAATTTGAAGGTACTTGATATCTTCATAATAATGAATCTTCAACATCCCAGAATGAGGTACACCTTTCCACTTATTCAAGATTTATCTAAGAAAAGTTTTATTAATTTTTTATGTATTTGTTAAATTTGATCTACTATATATGATATATATTACATAAGTTGGATTAGGCATTGGATTTTGAATGTTATCAAATATAATTTCTGTATTTTATCAATCAGGGATCCACCAGGAACAAAGAAGGCACTCCATGTAATTCAGGTGCCAAGAGTTTAGTATAGGAATCATGGGCTTACGCAACTCTTAGAAAAACAGGGGAAACAAAGGTCAGGGAGTTCAAAAGTAAAGATTTCAGTTTGTAACACCACAGCAGGTAATTCTCAAGAATTCTTGAGAAAGCAGTGTAAATCTCATGTGTGCTCATTTGTCAGTCTGCAACTGCCTCCAGAGAATAATGGCCTTTCCTTCTCATGCCCAGTAAATCTCATGTCAGGGCTTCTTATTGGCAAATTCTATCTGTGGCATCTTCTCTGCAATAAAAGGGTAGAAAAGTAATGTCAAGAGAACAACTATCCAGTCCAATTTAAGAAGATCGGTATTATTGCAATGAACATATAATTTCTTTTAATGTGATAAAATTATATTAATAGGTTTTCTAGTATTAAGCCATATTTGAAAAAAATTCCCTACCTCATTTTGGTGTATTTGGTAATATACTATCAACTTAAAAAGATTTTATTTAGTTGGGCTTTTTTGTATTATATTTATGAAAGATTTCTGCAGTTATATCATATTATGTTATCTTTTTTTGATTTTGTTACCAAGATTACATTTGCATTAGAAAATGAATTGAGAAGATTTCTATCTTTTCCTGTATTCTGAAAGAATTTAAATTTATCACATGGGAATTACCTATTGCTTGATAATTAGAAATAACTCACAAAAACTTCTGGGCCTGATACCTCTATTACTCGTTTCCCCCTTTCCCCCCACCTCAATTCCATGAGTAAATATTGATCTGTGCTCTTCTTCTCAATTTAGCCAATATTATAATGGAAAACTTTTCAAAGCTGAAGAAACATGTACATTTGCAATGGAAATAGTTCAATAACTGAATCAGGCTAAATTAATTAAAAGATACTAATACCTAGACATATTAGGATAAATATTTTAAATTTCAAAGACAAAACAAAATATTCTACAACATAGCAGCCCATTAACACAGATTGCCTGTAAAGGAGTAAAAATCAGATTGGTCCTGGGCTTTATTATAACACTGAAAAAGAAAACAATGTATCCTACTTTTGAGAGAATCTTCTATTACTCAAAAGTTCTAAACTCAGCTAAACTGTCCTATACATATGAAGTCAACAGAAAGGCATTC